TGGACACCTCAACAAACTCATCTCCATACCGGCATGATGACTCCGACCTACAACCAGATAGAACTGGATAAATATTGTGAATACCTGTCAACACTCCCATTTTTCCGGGGATTCTCCAGTTTTTTAGCTCTATGTCCCGAACCCCTCCCGGTTTGTTATGTCTCCCGGGAAACTCCTGTAATTTGCATGGCCCAAACTCCTTTATGAATAATCGGACCAATATGTTTGTCTAATGTTGACCAGTTGCCAGTGTTGTGTTCTTTGAAGTGGGGTTTATAAATGCATTGAGTTAATGTTCAGTGATGCATAGAGTTTGATTGGGCTGAATCATTTGGTTCTGTCTGAGGAATGGATGTGTTCATCTACTTGGGTCTAGACAGACAGTGTTATGGAAGTAAAGCTGACGATAAGTTGATACTACTCTCTGTGTCAGTGTGGTCATTATCAAACGCAACATTTGGCGACGAGGATGGCTGATATTGCACTGCCACCGCCTGCTCCTTTCCTCGCGCTACCTGGTGAGCCTCCGATTCCCTGGACTCGCTGGTTGCAGTCTTTCGAGACTTTCATCTTGGCAGTGGGGCTGACGGATGTGAGCACAGCCCGCAAAAAGGCGCTGTTACTACACTGCTTGGGAGCTGAGGGTCATCGTGTGCTGGGAACGCTTGAGTCGGGCGCCACAAGCGATTATGACACGGCCGTGGAACTGCTTACCGCACACTTCACGCCTACGCAGAGCGCACTCTTGCGCCGTTTTCTGTTCCGCCAAAGAAAACAGCTGCCCGGTGAGTCAGTGCAACAGTACGTAGCCAACTTGCGGGGATTGGCCAGCACATGCAAGTTCGGTGCGTTGCAGGACGAAATGATTCGCGACCAGTTAATTGAACATACCAACAATGCAAAAGTACGTGAAACTCTGCTATTAGAACCGGATGATTTATCACTGCCCCGAGCGATCACGATTGCATTACAAATAGAGAGTGCAGCTGCATGTGCGTCAGCATTGACTAAACAGCAAACAATCACGGACTACCCAGCCCCCTCCCCCATGCCCACATCTATATTACAGCCCAATCAGAACGACGCATCGGCTGCAGCAGATTCCTCTGCAGTTATGCTACTGAGACGCCCGCAGCGGTCTCGGCCACGCCCACAAACACCAGCGTCGCGGCCCTGTGATAATTGTGGATCTTCATCTCATCAGTCTAGAGCGCAGAGCTGCCCAGCTCGTGGTCAAACGTGTCGTAACTGTGGCAAACGCAACCATTTTGCTTCAGTCTGCCGTTCTGCTCCAGCTGAGTCGCCCACTATCATTCACAATGTCTACTCTGGGCCAGTCTCATTTAAAGCATGCTCAGTGCGCCTAAATGATGTGTGTATCCCACTGCTTTTGGATACTGGTGCCAGTGTGTCTCTCTTGAACATGCACACATACGGTTGTTTTTTTGGAGCACTGCCACTGTCGCCACCCTCTGCCTCACTCTGTGGCTATGGCGACTCAAAAATTGACCTAGTGGGTTCCCTGCAAGTGACTGTTGGGTATGGCACCAAATTGGTACCCAGTTTTACCTTCCATGTTGCCCGTCGTGGGGCCAATCTGATGGGTCTGGATTTGTTCTCGGCTCTGGGGTTCTCCCTGGTGGACACAAAGGGAGCTGCGATCCTGACAGTCTCTACGTCTTGGCAACAAAAATGGCCGTCTCTGTTTGAAGGCTTGGGGTGCCTCATTGCTTTTGCCCACCAACCTCTCTTGAACCCGGCTGTTACACCAGTCATTCAACCACTTCGCCGCATTCCTCTGGCTTTCCGTGATGGTGTCTCAGTTGAACTTAAGCTACTACTGGACTCTGGCATTATCGAACCAGTGGATGCATCGCCCTGGGTCTCAAACCTGGTGGTGGCTCAGAAGAAATCAGGGGCACTACGAGTGTGTGTCGACCTGCGAGCAGTGAATAAGGCAGTGATCCCGGACAAGTTTCCACTCCCTACCTCAGAAGAGCTCACTGCTCAGTTCCATGGCTCAACCGTGTTCTCCAAACTGGATCTCAGACAGGGCTACTTACAAGTGCCCCTCCACCCCAGCAGCAGGAATCTCACAGCCTTCGTGACCCATGAAGGTGTGTTTCGTTACACGCGCATGCCGTTTGGACTTAGCTCCGCCCCCAGCTGCTTTCAAAAAATCATGGTGTCGGTATTGGCTGGTATACCGGGGGTGGCCATCTACCTGGACGATGTGGTTATCCATGGGCCTTCTACAGCGAGTCATGACGAACGCCTCAGCAGAGTTTTCGCAGCCTTAGCGGAACACAAACTAACCCTCAATGCTGAAAAATGTGTGTTCTCCTCACCGTCCATTGAGTATGTGGGTTTCCGACTGTCGGCGGATGGCGTCACACCACTTCAGTCAAATGTAGACGCTATACTGGCAATTCCCGAACCCAGCTCAGCTGCACAGGTTGCCTCCTTCTTGGGCATGACGGGTTACTATCTAAAGTTCCTCCCACATTATTCTGCTACCACCGCCCCACTACGGCATCTGCTGCATAAGGATGAGCCCTGGATATGGTCACAGGCCTGCTCTGAGGCGGTGCAAGCGCTCAAGGTGCAGCTCACTACAGCTCCAGTGTTGGCTCATTTCGATATATCTAGCCCCACTATGGTGACCTGCGATGCGTCGGCTACAGCCATAGGAGCAGTGCTGTCACAGACTCAGCAGGGCGTCGAGAAGCCCATTGCCTTTGCATCACGGGCCCTCAATCAGACGGAGCAGCGGTACTCGGTGGGGGAACGTGAAGCATTAGCCTGCATCTGGGCTTGCGAGCGGTGCCACTTGTACCTCTATGGCCGCGCTTTCACCCTGAGGACAGATCACCAGGCCCTGACCGCACTGCTTTCTACATCTGGGACAGGCCACAGACCACTGCGACTACACCGCTGGTCCGACCGACTTCGCCAATATAACTTTGACTTGAAGTTCACCCCAGGCAGAGACAATGTTGTGGCTGATCTTCTGTCCCGCGCTACTCCATCCCACCCTGTCATACACACAACCACTGACACGGACCAGGTGGAACAGGACATTGTTCAGATGTTACACGCACCCCTCCAGGCTGTCGTATCGTTACAAGAACTGAAGAATGCATCGGAACAGGACCCAATTCTCTCTCAGCTCCGTGTCTATATACTGAACGGTTGGCCTCATGAGATATCGGAGGAGCTTGCCGCATTTTCCAGAATAAAGCAGGAGTTGTCCTGCTGGAACGACACCTGTGTGGCACGCGGCCTCTACACAGTCATCCCCAGCACCCTACGTGCACGGGTCTTGGCAATGGCTCACGAGGGCCACCTTGGTATTGTGAAGCTGAAACAGCGCTGCAGAGACCGGGTTTGGTGGCCGGGGATTGATAAAGACATAGAGGCCCTGGTGAAAGACTGTGCCACCTGCCTTTTGAGCGGAAAGACAGGTCACCAGGCCCCCCCACCGTTACAACCACTTGCTTGGCCATCACAGCCTTGGGATCACCTGCAGCTGGACATATGTGGTGAGATACAGGGAGTTCCTCATCACCAACGCTTCCTAGTGGTTGTCTATGATCTGCACTCGAAATGGCCTGAGCTTATTGCCACCGGCTCTGTGACCTCTTTGGTCATAATCAACTTTCTGGACTCTCTGTTCTCCCGCTGGGGCCTCCCAAATACTATCACTACGGACAATGGCCCGCAACTGATCTCGGCCGAGTTCACCACATACCTCAAAAACAAGGGTATTCGCCACATCCGCACGGCATACTATCATCCCCAAGCTAACGGTGGTGTTGAACGCTTTCACCAGTCCCTGAAAAACAGCCTCAGAGCACACCTGTTCCAGGGATGGACATTCTCACAGGCCATTCGCCACACACTGCTGCACTACAGGGCCACCCAACACTCTACAACGGGGGTCTCTCCAGCTTCCCTCATGCTTGGCCGTGAGCTCCACCTTCCCCTCGACAGGCTCAGCCCAGCACTGCCTCAGGGCCTACTACCACAGGTCAGGGCCTCAGTTGAACGCCAGCAGAGGCGGATGAAGCAGAAATTCGACCTCTCAGCACACGCAAAGGCCCCTGACATACAGGCTGCGGATTGGGTCAGGGTTCGCAGGCCCCACAGAGACCACAAACTCGCTTCATACTGGTCTTCCCCTCTCAAAGTTAGTCATCAGCTGGGCCCAGCCACCTTCTTGCTCAGTGATGGCACGCGGTGGCATGCAAGCCGTCTCCGCAAAGTACGGGCCCCGGCACATACGACAGGTGCCACATCTCAAGCCACACCCTCAGCTTGGCAGGACAACCCAGCGAGTCAGCCTAGACCTCAGATAGATCCTGCACAGGTTCCAAGCATCTCTATCAACCTCCCAGCTGAGATGTGTGCTTGCCCATCACAGGCTGCCCAGCCTCATCCTTGTCTTTCACCGCGGCCTGTTCGCACTCGTTCTCGGCCTGGGCACCTAAAGGACTTTGTGTCAACATTTCATGTTTGAAAACCTGTAGGAGGGGGGGAAATGTTGTGTTCTTTGAAGTGGGGTTTATAAATGCATTGAGTTAATGTTCAGTGATGCATAGAGTTTGATTGGGCTGAATCATTTGGTTCTGTCTGAGGAATGGATGTGTTCATCTACTTGGGTCTAGACAGACAGTGTTATGGAAGTAAAGCTGACGATAAGTTGATACTACTCTCTGTGTCAGTGTGGTCATTATCAAACGCAACAGCCAGATCTTTGGATTAAATGCATTATATCCACACACCATATACAATTTCAACTGTTTGTCATCTCACCCTGGCAACCTAAACCCAGTTGCGGAAAGCTTAACCCAAAAGAAAGAAAGAAGAAAGAAAAGAAGAAAGAAAAATAAAAATTATATTGCACAAAAAGTGCTATATAGATAACAGTGACTTGACAAATACTTATATGTTTTATTATAAAAAGTTATGCTATCAAAGAAATATATTTTGGAGGGATATTATTTTGAAAAATGAAACGGTTCAATGACACATTTTGCAATTCAGGCACCCTTGTGTGCTGTTATCAAGGACATGAATAGCTGATTAAATTACAAAGATTACAAAAAAAAAAAAACCCAAAAAAACACTAAATTATAGCAAGAGTTGAGCATCTTTTAGTTTGTGTCACTCTTGACTAAGTCTTGCATCTCTGTGATGAAGGTGTTTTCTTCCGTTTCAGCTTTTTGCTTACTGATAAAAGGGAGGTTTGTGTCAGGACTACACAGGTGACGCCAACGCTGTTAAGAAACAGACACAGTGAAACAACATTAATCTGTTAGTTGATTTACTCTTGTTTTTAAAATGCAGTTTAGATTTGGTGAATAGTTAAAGATATACAGTACATGTCTGCTCTGATTATGTCTCAGTGGCTTGTTCATCTCTTGATCATGTTTAATCTCACCTGTTTTAGGCTTCCTTTCTCAGTAAACAGTCGGATCAGCGCCCATCCAGGCACCAGCAGAATGGAGGACAGGGCCAGTAACCAACCTAGTGCGTACGCCCAGTCTGGGTATACATACCAACGGTTAAAAGTGAGAGGTTTGTACTTAACCATTGAACAGACAAAAGACACCTGAAAATGGACAGAAGAGAGAGAACATTTGTAAAGAATGAAAAAAAAGGACAATTAAATCAGAAGAATGTGAGAAGTGGCTGTGTCATCCCAAGGCGTCATATAGTGACGCTTTTGAGATTTCGTCTACATCCAACGCACATGGCACCCTTTAGCGTCAATATGAGACGCAGATATATATATATATATATATATATATGCGTCTCATATTTACACTAAAGAGGCGCCTTCTGGTTCATATATATGCTATATATATATATACACTCACCGGCCACTTTATTAGGTACCCCATGCTAGTAACGGGTTGGACCCCCTTTTGCCTTCAGAACTGCCTCAATTCTTCGTGGCATAGATTCAACAAGGTGCTGGAAGCATTCCTCAGGGAGTTTGGTCCATATTGACATGATGGCATCACACAGTTGCCGCAGATTTGTCGGCTGCACATCCATGATGCGAATCTCCCGTTCCACCACATCCCAAAGATGCTCTATTGGATTGAGATCTGGTGACTGTGGAGGCCATTTGAGTACAGCGAACTCATTGTCATGTTCAAGAAACCAGTCTGAGATGATTCCAGCTTTATGACATGGCGCATTATCCTGCTGAAAGTAGCCATCAGAAGTTGGGTACATTGTGGTCATAAAGGGATGGACATGGTCAGCAACAATACTCAGGTAGGCTGTGGCGTTGCAACGATGCTCAATTGGTACCAAGGGGCCCAAAGAGTGCCAAGAAAATATTCCCCACACCATGACACCACCACCACCAGCCTGAACCGTTGATACAAGGCAGGATGGATCCATGCTTTCATGTTGTAGACGCCAAATTCTGACCCTACAATCCGAATGTCGCAGCAGAAATCGAGACTCATCAGACCAGGCAACGTTTTTCCAATCTTCTATTGTCCAATTTCGATGAGCTTGTGCAAATTGTAGCCTCCTGTAGCTTTCCTGTTCTTAGCTGAAAGGAGTGGCACCCGGTGTGGTCTTCTGCTGCTGTAGCCCATCTGCCTCAAAGTTCGACGTACTGTGCGTTCAGAGATGCTCTTCTGCCCTCCTTGGTTGTAACGGGTGGTTATTTGAGTCACTGTTGCCCTTCTATCAGCTCGAACCAGTCTGGCCATTCTCCTCTGACCTCTGGCATCAACAAGGCATTTCCGCCCACAGAACTGCCGCTCACTGGATGTTTTTTCTTTTTCGGACCATTCTCTGTAAACCCTAGAGATGGTTGTGCATGAAAATCCCAGTAGATTAGCAGTTTCTGAAATACTCAGACCAGCCCTTCTGGCACCAACAATCATGCCACGTTCAAAGTCACTCAAATCACCTTTCTTCCCCATACTGATGCTCGGTCTGAACTGCAGGAGATTGTCTTGACCATGTCTACATGCCTAAATGCACTGAGTTGCCGCCATGTGATTGGCTGCTTAGAAATTAAGTGTTAACGAGCAGTTGGACAGGTGTACCTAATAAAGTGGCCGGTGAGTGTATATAGCATATAGCATATATATGAGCCAGAAGGCACCTCCTAGTGGTCTAAGGCCGGATTCACATATAGCGCCTAAAAACGCGTAGAAAATGCTGGGCGCGCCGCATTCTCCATTTTCCAAAGCGCCAGGGCGGTTGCGCTTCAGTTGGTTCTTGTCACATGACCTATTGTGCGCTTATGGTGCGCTTGCGGCATTCTGAAAAGTTGAGATGTTTTTATCTCGACGCGGCGCGGACGCGCTTGGAAAAAACGAGCGCGTCGCACCGCGACCGCGTCGCTTCCATTATGAGCGCGCATACCGCGCGCCTACATTTGAAATAACGAACTTGAGCGCGCAAAAGACGCGATATGTGAACCGGCCCTAACCCTACCCCAGACTTAAACCTACCCATAACCAAACAAAGCTCTGTGCGCGTGTTACATTGGGTGCCATGTGCGTTGGATTTAGACGAAATGTCAAAAGCGTCACTATATGACGCCCTAAGATGAGAATGCGTTGAGAACCATATAATGACCAGAGAGATTTGTTGGGTTTTTGACAAGTACAAAAAATAAAGCAGATCAATGAAATACAGAGGCACTTACTAGGGACACGAAAGGAGTCAGGTATTTCCAGCACAGCATGAATATGTAATTCGGTCGTGAATTTGTCATGTCTTCAATGACGTCAAACATTCTCTCAGCCCCTGTGGTGTTAGGGAAGAATTAAACATCACTGGCTTTTAGATACTATCATTGTTGTCTATTGTGGTTTCTGATACTGTCATTGTTGTCTGAGATCATGAATAATTTGTATTTGATTTATAGTAAAATTTCATTACATTTCTTTCATTTCACACAGTTAGAGGGAAAGTTTTGACAGACATCACAAAATTTTACACTTATTAGTTGCCGGTGTTCAGAATAGTATTTAAATCATGACAACTCTCAAGAGTAGCTTTGGCATGTGAATCGCCATTTACAGGATTTTAGGTTTAGGGTACCAATACATATTGTATCAAAGCGGCTTCACAGTGATAACATGAAAATAATACAACACAGATCAATAATATTGTTGAATATTAAATGTCCCCAACTAAGCAAGCCCAAAGCCAAGGCAACAGTGAAAAGGAACCAAAACTCCATCAGCTGACAGAATTCAGAATAAAAACCTTGGGAGAAACCAGGCTCAGTCGGAGGGCCAGTTCTCCTCTGGCCAACAAAGGAACAGTGTGTGTTCCTATAGGATGCTCCATAGAAACATTTTTTTTTTCTTTTTTTTACATTTTAAGGTTAAATCAATCTGGTGCACATTAAGAGCTCAAAATTAGGAGCTTTAATTTTGAACACAGAAAAAGCATTGACTTGTGCCTGGACATTAAAGAGGGCTCAAACATCCTTTTAGTTATGATATAGAGTCTCAGTCTACATTGATCTCTGGTGTTTTAGGATGCCAAACAATTAGTATAATAATATAATATATAATTATTCCTGTGACATAAAATCCATATAGCCTATAGTTGTACTGTATAAATGAAAATATTTCAGTATATTTTACATTACACTATAGTATAGGAAAATTACAATACTTTTGTTCTAAATTCTTCACTTGCAAGAAATAAACCATTGAGCTTTTATTTTGGAGAAAACACCAGATCACCATGATGATCGCGTGAGCAAACTTAAAGTCTTTTGCTTTTTTATAAAGGCACAAAGCCATATCACGGTTTTGATTTTAGTTTGTTTTAGTTCGATTTATTTTATCGGGAAAAGGGAAAAGAGCAAGTTTGGCAAAAGACAGATTCAAACGCGGATCGAACATGTTAAATGCTATACTTTCAAGCACCTCACAACCTATGCCACTGCGGACTCGGGAATGCAGATTGGACCAAAATGTATTTTTGATGCTTCAAAACATTCTAACTAACCCTCTGATGTCACATGGACTTCTTTGATGATGTCTTTATTTCCTTTCTTGACAAGGACAGTATACCATACATACATTTTCAATGGAGGGACAGAAAGCTCTCAGACTAAATCTAAAATATCTTAAACTATGTTCCGAAGATTAACTGGGTTTTACAGGCCTGGGATGACATGAGGGTGAGTCATTAATGACATAATTTTCATTATGGGGTTTACTAACCTTTGAAGTTCAATAAAAAAAAAGCAACATTTTGAGCAAAAAGCTGAGATAATTACATTTTTTGGGTGAACTAACCCTTTAACCACATGCAAGTGTTGATAAAAAAGTTTTTGTTGTTGTTCAAAACAGAGGGTCTGTTCTTTCTTTTGATATATTATAAATTATTAAATATTCAGATATTTCTACAACAAAATATTCTGGGGGCCATGAAAGTTTTTTGAAAATTATCAAAAACGCTGGTGGTGGCTGTCAACTTAAAAAAACAACAACAACAAATGTTGGTGGGGAAATAGTTAATAATATGGCAATGTTAATGTCTTTGTAGTCTACAGTAATTAGATATAGGCTACATACACGTTGTGAGTATGTAAGCTGCCTCATGAATAGTCATAGTACACTCTAAAAAAAAAGGTTCTTCAGGGGTTCCTTTCAGTGGTCATGGTGCTATATAGCACCACTACCATTTAAAGAACCTGTTAAGCCCAGTTTGGTTCTTCAGTGGTTCTCTGGGGTGGTTAAGGTGCTCTATTGCACCTCTTATGGTTCTACATAGCACCATTTGATAAAGATAAGTGCTAAATGGTTCGCCTATGATTACAAGCCAATGAACCACTTTTAGTGCTATATAGCACCATTTTTGTTTAGAGTAGGCAGGTGGAGCTGGGGGAGGTAGGGGGTTTCAGATGAACTCTAATAATGCACTGAAGGACCAACTTACAGCAAATACTGAATGAGACTATTTAAATGTTAAGCAAGCAATTTGATTGGCTGCAGAATCAGCAGAGACCAATCAGCTTGTACCCTCTGGTAATGGTGAGACAGCTTGCAGATTGCATGTAAAGGACTATCAGCTTGCACAATTTAGAATTTCATGACTGAGCAAGAACAGTTGAACAACTGCAAAAACAAAAAAAACAAAAAAAAAAAACAGCTTTTGTGCAACTCACCAAAAACCCAACCCATGGCCAAAGATTCAAAAACACAGAGGAAAAAAAGACAGGCTCCACTGCAGGCATAGTAGTCGAACAGCTGGAATACATACATCCCCCCCTGTAGGTCACAAAATCACAACTCAGTTGCCTAGTATTTTCAAAAATAGTAGTTTGTAACGTATACAGCATACAATGTTAAAGGTTTGAAAGTATGTACGTGAAAAGTTATACAAACCTCTGTAACCATGACAAGTTGGCAGAAGAAGCAAAAAACACAGAAAAGCAGAAGAAATATTTCTCGACGTCCAGCTTTGCGCAGTACCATGGGGTACAGGTCCATCGCTGAGGTCATAAAAACTTCCATCGCAACAAACTTTGGGGGATGCAGAACGAAAGTGCATCAGAAGAAGTTCTGTATATTACATCTACATAGCTTCCAACTTAGAAAGGCTTTAACTTAGGTTTAACACCTCTGTGTGCAGGTTGGAATTTCAGCTCACCTGTGTATCTAGTCCCAGCAAAATAATCATGATGAAGAAACAAACAGACCACAACTGAGGGAAAGGCATCATAGCTACTGCCTGTGGATAAGCTATGAAAGCCAACCCTGGACCTGAAAAAAAAGACAGAGATAGAATGTTTTATTGAGTATTTAGTTCTAAAGCTTTACAAGATTTCAAAGAATCTTGCAGTACCTGATTCTGCCACCTCCTCAATGGATACACCCTGCTTTTGAGCCATGAAGCCCAGAACTGAGAAGACAGCAAAGCCAGCCACAACACTGGTGCCACTGTTCAGAAGGCAAAGCCATAAGCTGTCCCTATAGGGAAAACATAGATTATACAACCCTTTGGTGTGAAAATCAATAATTATGTTTTGTAGAAGAGAGAAGAGGGGGCCAAACGAACCATGAGGTCCATCACTGATAAGTTAAAGGGGCACTTGGCAACTATTTCTACTTTTAAAACCATTTAGAAATCATTTGAATGGTTCAATAACCTGTTGAGAATGTTGGCTTTCCCCGCTCCCCCCAGCATCCCCGGGTGGAAAACCAACCTTGCAACATGAGGACCAACGTCCCGGTAAGTTGGAAATAGAAGTCTGTGATAAGTGAGAACGAGCGAGAAACAGAAACTGCTTTACGGCAATTCGACATAATTCTATGATACTGTGTATGATCTATTACCCACTCGGTAGACAAAGCTCCACACGATAGAGTTGGCCGGCTCCGATAATATCAGAAGCACACGAGTAGGGTTGGGAATCATGAGAAATTTTCCGGTTCCGATTCCGGTTCCGCCAAACGATTCCGGTCCCGGTTCCGATTCAATTAACAATATTAGTAAGAAAAAAAATCCACAATTCCTTTTGTGTTTATTTCTTATAGTACTTGAAAAATGAGTTTAACAGACTGATAATGTAAACAAATTCAACATATTATTAATCAATCTTTGCAAAAAAATAAAAAGGAAATTTAAAAATTCTGCATTCTCTAGAATAATTTAGGACCTCTTATTGCATCTCCAACAGTGATACCCTCTCAGAAGGGGTAGAATATGCTTTAACACACATATGTGTGTAGAACAGATTATTTTTAAAAACAGTTTGAATTATTGATTCATAAAGACTTCAATTATTGCATTATTACTGGATAAATCGGCCCTAAATAGCAGTTAATAAACAGAACTGCAGTGCATGCGTCTTGCGGAAGAACATAGTTGCCGGATCTACTTCTCTCTGTTTATGTCCATGACGAGTCACGCAGGCATTGGGCTACTCCGCAGCGGCTGTGATCCGCCATCCAGTCTAAACAAGTCGGAGTATTAACGCTTATTACTGGCTTTACGTAGTGATTCAAGATAAGACAAAAACACGATTTGAAAAAAAGCCTTCATGATGCACTCGCTCATTGTATACATTTTGTAAATTCTGAACACAAAAAAGTTACGGACTGTGTTTTGATACGGTCAATGTTTAGCCTACTCAAACTATAATCTCACTACTTCTGTAACGTTAATCATTTGAATATGTGTAACATAAATATTGATACTGTGTGATTATAAAGCAGTTTCATGCCGACAACTGCTCTCTCTCTCAGCGCAAACAGATTTGAATGTACGTGACTCGGCACGCGCGTGTGTGTACTATAAATGCAGCGCGTGTGAGAGGAAATCGCAACTTCAGTGGTGAAGTTTTTGTCATTTAGGAATAAGACGGCGTAGGTGTTTGAATCGAAATCTTTTGCAGCTCTACTCTCTCTCTCACTGTCTGCACCTTGAGGTGAGACGCTAAAGGATAACCTACTCCCAGGACTTCGCCCTCATATCACTCCAGAACCGTTTTAGGAACCGAAACTTAGGAATTTTGCACGGTTCCGGTATTTTTTCAAAAACACTACCGGTTCTGGAAAAGAACCGGTTCTCGGTTCCCAACCCTTCACACGAGCAGCGGTAGAAAGCAGGAGGAGGGCGCTGCAAGTGAAATTGTGAAATATAGGTATGCCGCACAGCTGTAGGGGGCGCTGATGAGAACACATTAGAGAACACACTAGAGTTGCCAAGTGCCCCTTTAATGCAACTTAGACACACCATACCTTCCATAAGATACAATGAAGTAAGAATACTTTTGAAGTACTTAAACAAAGGTAGCAGTATACATGCAGTATTGTTCAAGAGAATCTTAAAAAAAAAGAAAGATACCGAAAGAAATATCATATTATCGAACCAAACTAACCTGTAGCAGTTATTGTTATATTTATTGTAGCTGCCTAATACAGTAAGAGAGGCAGTACCCAAAGAATATGAGAAAAAGATCTGAGCTCCTGCTTCCATCCAAACCTAAATGCACAACACAGTAGGAGTAAGGACTTGTGAAGGGGCTCAAGAATTTTAATATTAGTGCTAATTTGATGTCTGAAAAATTAAAATTTTGTTTGCTACTTATTACAAGAAAATAACATACTTCTTACTGGTTGTGAATGTAATTAAATAGACTATGCAAAAAAAAACATTTATTTATACAGTAATATCAATATAGTCTATGTGCAAGGGTTATTAAGCCTGATTCCAGGAAAGGGCACATGGTGGGGTTACCTGTGGGTCAGTGAGACGGGCCAGTTCAGGGTACAGGTAAAACACAATCCCCTGCAGAGCTCCAGGAAGAGTCAACCCACGAATCAGCAACACCAGTAGCATCACATAAGGAAATGTGGCTGTGAAATACACCACCTACAGGCAAAATACAAGAAAAGTAAAAATGCATAATAATAGTTTTACTAATTTCAACAAACAGGCAAAATACTGTACTGACATTCCATAATGAATGCAAAAATATTTTAATAAAAAAACTGTAAATGACAAAAATAGAGAAACTAAAGAAATAAGTACATTTTGTGAAATCTTTAACGTGTTAAGACAAAATTCTCCTCAATGACAGTTTTGCACACCTTGCCTGTAGATTTGACTCCTTTCCAGACACAGAAATAACATATGATCCACATTCCAACGAGACACAGAAGAATCTCCCAGTTGATCTTACCAATCTCCTCAATACCCCCAGAGAGAGCCAGCACTCTGTGTCTAAAATTTTGACAAAAAAAAGAGCAGCTATCATACTTTATAATTTGCTAATGTGGAATGTTCTTGCAAGATTTGATTTTATTATTAACAAATCTTTTTATGTTTATTTATTTACTTCCAGAACTCAGTAACTGCAGAGGTTGAATTACTCAGCATTGTCCAGTTGAGGGTCAGGTTCTTTGCAGCGAGATTTACACAATCATCTGAGACAGAGAGAGAGAGAGAGAGAGAGAGAGAGAGAGAGAGAGAGAGAGAGAGAGAGAGAGAGAGAGAGAGAGAGAGAGAGAGAGAGAGAGAGATAAAGAGAGAGATAAAGAGAGAGAGAGAGGTTTGCAAACCCCTGCAGCATATTTATATATGATATTCAGAAGATGTTACTTCTTTAGGTGAGTGTTGTTTCAAACTATCACCTGTGTTCCAGGTGTTATCACAGCTGTCCCATGGCAGTTGGGAGCTGAAAGAAAAGATGAGGTAGAAAAATGCCCAGGCCAGAATGATGATGTAATGCATGCAGCTGTACAGAATTATCAGCTGTCCTGCATAGCCAATACCTGACAAAAGCAGAAAAACAGATCACCAGGGGCAGTCAACACATTTCATAGGGACCATTAAATAAAGTTTTTGACCAATCGAATTAAGCTATTTTTAAGTAACGAAATGAAGTAGTCTCAACGTGATTTTTTATGTAAATATATGTATATGCATTTCACATTTAGAGATTGGCATTAATTAATTAATTAAAGCAAATAAATCAAATCATGTATTCTACACATCAACAGTAATATAAAGAGAAAATGCTTAATACTTTTTATGCTTAATTTTTATTTGCTTAAGGTTCTAACCAGAAACCATGATTTTCAAATAGACTAATATAAAAATGCACTTTAAGAAATACAATCAGTGTCCAAAATTAGAAATTTAAAATGGTTCCAGGGGTAACCATAGACAAATAATTCTAATAATAATGACTTGATTGGTACACTGCCTTCAGAAATTGTTTTGCTTGCCTGTGCAAATCCCACCTGCACAAAAAAAAAAAAAAAAAAAAATGCAGATAAAATGAATTAAAAATTGTTTATATATTTTGACTCACCTTCAGCCAGTGGACAGAGGCGATGCCAACATGTAATGCCACCTTCCTGTGTGTACTGTCCCATAGCTGTCTCTAGCAGGAACAGAGGCACCCCACAGGTAATCACAAACACCAGGTAGGGTATTAGGAATGCCCCTGAACACATCAGTACAATAAAAAATATTATAATACCAGAAAGGTAAAGTAGACAAAACAGCATTTGTGTATTTAAGCTGCCTCATACCTCCTCCATTCCTGTAGCAGAGGTATGGAAACCTCCAGACGTTACCCAGACCAATTACAATCCCCGCCACAGCCAGAAGAAACTCTGCTTTGCTGCCCCAGTGCCCACGTTCCTCTATTTGTCCTTTGATTCTGGTCATACTGTCACACAGTTTTGACCATGTTATTCTGATCCTTCTGTCCAGACTGCTGTGATTTAATGGTGAGTTTGTTCTAAATTCTTATTAGCTAGTCATTCATCAAAATGTATCAAGCTATTCATTGACTGATCCTCACCAGATGATATGACAACCAAAGTACAACATAATGGGGTGAGTCTAAAGCAGATGCCGTTCGTCATGATATATTGCTGTCAAAATTTGTTTTTCAAATTCTTTAGCTTTGAAGAAAACTGTTAAAATATGCAAAACCTTTATCATTCTCTATAGTGTGAAATGTTGCAAAACCAATTGATAAGTCCCCATCACCCGCTCAATTCACAAGACCAAAACTCAGATTTTTAGTTTGAAAATACTGTATGAGCAAAACTTGTTTTATTCACCCCTTTTGATATTATGGTTATTTCCTCTTTTGTCCTTTGGAAGTAGTAGATTTCAGATCAGATTCAATGGTCTCAATTAAGTTTAAGATTACTCAAACTGTGATACTTTTCCAGCAGCATGTAAAATAAATAAAATAAATAAATATATATTAAGCTTAATATCTGATGACTGAGGCTTTTGAATCGCAGTCCTAAATTAGAGGGAAAAAAAAAGACAATTTACACATCACTATCCTGGCTCTTATTTTATTTTGTTGCCTTCATGAACATTAGTGAATCTTTGCTTTTTTTTTTTTTCATGAGTCCCTTTAATTGACTTAATTCTACCACAATATAAGAGCACTGTCAGGGTGTAGTGCAGAAGAAGATGAGTCCAAAGCAAAGCGTTTAACATACCAAATACAGACAGGCAGAAGGTTTACACACACACACACACACACAAAATTCAATGGAGAATAGATGAACTTAGATGAACTTTGATAGATGAACAGATGATGATGATGATTAACTAAACAGGTGACAGATAATCTGATAATGATACGTGACATGAAGTTAGGCAGACAAGTCAAATGAAAACAAACTAAACACAACTGTGACACGCTGGTAAGGTAAGGTAATTTATTTATAAAGCACGACCAATGTGCTGTACAATTCTCTGAAAACATGCCAAGGGCAAAACGTACAGAACATTTATACAACGCAATACATATATAACAACTCACAAAACAAACAAGCAACTAACCTATCAGCAGTTAGAGTTTGACAGAAAAGCGAGAGAAAAGAGATGAGTTTTTAAAAGAGATTTAAAAGATACCAAAGTGGAGGCAGTTCTAATACGCAAAGGCAGTCTATTCCAGAGTTTTGGAGCCAACACCGAAAAAGAACGATCACCCCAAAGCTTACGTCTGGATTTTGGGACAGTTAAGAGTTTCTGGTCAGAAGACCTAAGTGATCTTGATGGCGAGTATATCTGCAACAACTCTGAGAGATAAGGTGGTGCCATACCATTTAGCGATTTAAAAACAAACAACAAAATCAATCCTGTAGCGGATCGGCAGCCAATGTAATGAAAATAAAATTGGGGTAATGTGATTCCGCTTTCGGGAACCAGTCAGCAATCTAGCTGCAGCAGTTTGGACAATTTGCAAGCATGTCAATGTTAATTGATTAATCCCTGCAGGGCATTACAGTAGTCAAAACGTGAGGTCACAAATGCGTGCATCACTCTCTCTAAATCTTCTACTGACAAATTGCTTGACTTTTGCCAAGGTTCTTAATTGGAAGAAGCCTGATTGAACAACAGCGTTAACTTGTCAAATTTTAGTGAGCCATCAAAAATTACCCCCAAGTTTTTCACCATTGATCGAACATAAATAGATAAAGGTCCCAAGTCAACACAGGGGAACTCAGATACATTTGATGGTGCAAACACAATGATCTCAGTTTTGCATTCATTTAAATTGCATTCATTTAAATTTAAATTATTAGCAGCCAGCAGGTTTTCAACTCATTCAAGCATGCTAAAAGGCCCTAAAGAATTATTGTCAAGTTTCCCACTTTTTTATTCAGCTCTGCCCAAACTTGATATGGTGTTCAAACAATTGGGACGCCAGAGAATGCAACTCATTGACTTGACTATTTCTTTTCTGGGATTGCAGAGGTATTTCCAGAAGCAGTAATCAGCAATAGGTCAGAAATAGATCAGCAATAGGTTGATAATCTTTAAAGATAAAAATAGACAAAAAAACACATTAATATAATAAAGATGTTATTTAAACTAACATTTAACGTCTCATTTACCTTCACCATATTATTTACAATATAAATCAACTAAATCAAAATACTTTGACAACTTGAACACCTTTCCCTCAAATCACACCAAATCATACAAAATCTTAGCATCAATCAGTAGTGTAGCAAGCAAACTAGCAAAATTCATCAAATATGCTGAAACAATACTGATCTCTTACAACTTATAGTTTACATCAAAAAAATAAATAAAAATAAATTCATTTTCATACCAGTTGCATCTTCAAGTTTGAATTTGTTTTTAACTGAATGTGGGTGGAATTCTTTGCAAGTCCAGCAAGAGATCTTCTCCAAACTTTTCACCTGCATGTGCTCTCGAGGTGCACCACTTTATTGTTCCCCCCTGGAAACAACCCCTCTCAACGGTTCCCGTCCAGTCACCACACTACACTGCCCTCTAGAGGAATTTCTGAGTATGATGAAACTTAAAGTAAAACCTCATTATTGTGACAAAACACCTCCCACTTGACCTCCTGGTTCATAAACCTAAGGAGGTCACTCTAATCACCTTCAGTGCTTTCACTTTTGTTCAACTCGGTCCTGGAGGGCCACTGTCCTGCAGAGTTTAGCTCCAACCCTGATCAAACACACCTACTTGTGAGTTTCTAGTGATCCTGAAGACCTTGATAAGCTTGCTCAGGTGTGTTTGATCAGGGTTGGAGCTAAACTCTCCAGGACAGTGGCCCTCCAGGACCGAGTTTGAGAACCCCTGTTCTATAGGAAGCAAAACAATCAGTCGTCTTACATCCCTATGAAGGATTGTAGAAGGGATTTTGGTTGACAGTTTCTTCTGTCCAATCTCTTTGGACAGGCTTCACAGTTGGGACTGGGTAGCTGGGAAAAGTTCTGACCTGCACATCTCTGACGATGCCCTTCTTGTCAATACTGACACTGATGACTCTACCAAGTTTGTACTGGCCCCTCCAGGCATTTTGGTCAGCAATCCAGACGACATCTCCAACAGCCACATTCCTATGTGTTGTGTGCCATTTACTTCCCACAAATAGATTGGGCCCAGCTAACTGACTCCACTTCCTCCAGAACCGGTCAACTTCGGTTTGGATAGCTCTCTCAACCTTTCGTATGGGTAGTTTTCAAAGTCAAAGCATCCAAGATTTTGGGGTCCAGTTCGTCCAAGCAGAAGGGAATTTGGGCTGATATATTCTATGCAGTCTTCCTGGCTTTGAGTTCTGGCATCTACAGGCCTTTCATTGGCCAGGTTAGTGGCCACATATATAAATGTCTGAAACTCACTCCATGTAAATAATCCTTCTCCTCCCAGGTTGTGCACAGCCCACTTCACCGTGTGAACAGCTGCTTCTGCAGCTCCATTTCTGTGAGGGGAGTCTGCTGGGTGGATTTTCCAGCTCCATTCTGTTCCATGCACGGAAGCTTCATTTTCAAGCTCAGACTTATTAAGTTGATCCAGGAAGAGATAGAGTTTTTTCAGGGCAGGTCTGGCACCCACAAAGTTCTTTCCAGGATCTGACCACAGTTTCTTTGGGTGCCCTCTCAGTGCCGTGAATTTTCGATAAGCCATTAGGAAGCCTTCAGTTGACTGGTCACTGACAACATCTGTGTGTATAGCTCTGGATAACATGCAACAGAAGACAATTCCCCACACCCGAGCTTCGTTTTCTTCTTCACCTCGTCCTTGACTCCATACGGTCCATACAAGTCCACCGTTGTATACTCAAATGGTCTGGCTGGTGTTATCCACTCAGATGGAAGGTCACTCATGATCTGTTGGCACTTTCTGGCCCTAGCCTTTCTACACACACCACAGCTATCAACACCAGGCTTTTTTCCTCATCCGGAGCAGTGTGCCAGCTATTTCTTCATGATTTTCACCATGAGCCTCTTGAGCTAGGAGAGTGGATATCCATACATCATAGGGTAGAATGCCCAGTCTCTTTCTCTTTATAAACAGCGAGTCTGTTGAGAGTGGTGTCTTGAAAGGTTATACCTTCTTGAGCTGCAAGGAACAGGTCTCTTAGTGCATCTTTACACTCCCCAACAGTGAGTACAGCTTTCTTGGCTCTTGACCTCCAATTTGTTGAAAAAGCTTCCTCCCACTTTGGTTTATCTGAGGCTGAATTCTTGTTCAACACCTCTTTCCATCTTCTTGCAGCTCTCCAAACCCAGGCAATGACCCGGATCAGCCTGGTCAGATTGCTGAATTTCTTGATGTCAATCAGATTGGTTACTGCAGAGCCGCTTGGTAATCTTCGGATCTGAATCTTAGATTCATCTAGGTTAGTTTGCTGTGCATCTTTCTTGGCCTGCGCTCTAGTCAGTGCTGCCGAGAAAGCTTTCCTCTGAAGTTTGTTTATGCCTTCTTTGGCATACGTGGCGACTTCTTTGGCTGACTTATGTGGCAATTCTTCCACAGGTTGTTGCAGAAACGCTGGTCCATCCTGCCACATGAAATCTTCCTGGAGGTCTTCTGGGGCTGCCCCTCTTGTTATAGCATCAGGACTGTTCAGCTATCCCGGGATCCACCACCAGTCTTCGACTGACGTGGATTTTTGGATCTCCCCAACTCTATTTGCGAAAAAAGTTTGATATCCATAGCTGTCTATCTGGATTGCTCCCAGCACAGTTTGACTATCCAGCAGATGGAGCCATCGTTCAACTTCTATTCGACTGTGCTTCTCAACATAATTTCTAAGTCGTGCTGCATAGACAGCGCCACAGATTTCAGCTTTTACTGGTTCTCCCTTTTGGTCCAATGGTGTGAGCTTTGCCTTAGACTTAACCAATCTGACTTGGATGCCTTGCTCAGTCTCCCATCTGAAATACACCATGGCTCCATA